TATAATATTTAATAAAATAGGTGTGCATAACAATTTGTATCAAAAATACAAAAATCAATAATTACAAACAGCAGAAAACTATGTACCAGATTTCCAGACAAATTTGGTGGAAAACAAGTAGTGAATAATTTTTTTATAAAAGAATTTAATAATAGCAAACTATCATTGTTTTAAATGAATAAAGTATAAACATTTCCTGGTAAAAAAATAATTTATTCAGAAAATGTTTGATATTTGATCAGATTTCATTTGTGAAAAGTCAAATATATTAATAAATGAAATTTGTATCACTTACCTACATGCTCTTAATATTTAAAAAACCACACAAACATATCTGTAATAACATGAAACTTTCCCTTTTAACTTGTAGAAGTGTAGACTGCAACTCTAAACAGTGGAAAAACCTTGTCGACTCTCCTCAGGATAGAAGAATGACCTTCAAAAGAAATTGCCAGTGAGAGATTTTTTTTTGTCTTGGAGCCTACCCGCTCTCCTTGCAACTTGCATGATTCTCGGCATAGTTGCAAGCATAGGGTGGAATCCTGCCGTGATATAAAATTTTGATGTTTTGTGCATCGTGGATTGCTTTGTATTAATTTTTATCTTTTTCAACATTGCATTAAAATTTTATTTTTCCCGATGACTGAGTTTTTTGGCATCCCTTTCAAGTTTGCACCCAAGGCAAGTGCCTCGCTTGCCTCACCCTAATCCCAGCTCTGGTTGGGTCTTGTTTTTCATTTTTCTGGTCTTAAAATCCTTGCCTTTCATGGGAGCTTTTAGTCGTTTACATTTTAGGGAATTATTGATATGGTCAGAGTAAGCTCTAGCACATCGTTGTAAGTTTTCTATTTGCTCCTTCCAGCTTTTGACCGTCTGTTTCTCCTTTCCCACCTTCTTTTGAGATAACCAAATATACATTTTTTTTAATTTTAAAAAATTTATTTAGTTATTGCGGTAACATTGGTTTATAACATTATATAAATTTCAGGTGTACATCATATTTCATTTTCTGTGTAGATTACATCATGTTCACCACCCAAAGACTAATTACAGTCCACCCCCACACACGGGCCTAAGCACCCCTTTCTAACCAAATATATTTTAGTATTTAACTGTTAATTCTTCTATTGGCTTTTCAGCTGTACTTGTTTTCATTCTCTTTAGAGGTTGCCCTGGTGATTACAAAATGCATTCTCAATCACCGTCAACTTAAAGTTAATATTGTACCATTTCATATGAGATGGAAAAACCTTTTAACAGAATAGTTTCATTTTCCCAGTCCTGACCTTTGTGTTATTGGTATGTATATTATATCTACATACAGTCTGAGTCCCACAGTTCAGCTTGATCCTTCTGAGGCATGTTTTTAGGATATTCTAGAGGGGATCCACAGGAACCCTTACTCTAGAGCTGCAGTGGCCTACTCTCAAGGCATGGACTTTCCAGGGTGTCTGCTCTCAGTGGGATATTGGGTGAGGGCTCTCCTCCACTCTGGCCGTTCAAAATATCTATGTTTCCCAGAACTGGGCAAGCACCATTCAGTTCATGTAAGCCCAGGACTGATCTCTGCTTGGTCTTGCAGTGTCACGCTCTAAGCCTGCACAGCCTAGGATTTGGCCAAAGACCTAAAGCAATGCCTACGGTGATTTGTGGAAGTCCATCTCTACAAAGCTCCCTTGCTCCAGTACCGTGCCTGCTAGACGGAGGTCCGGAAATCTGATTTCTCCTCCCCAGCTCAGCTATGTTGCCATTCTCTGCCCGGGCTCCACTTCCCTAGAGGGGGCTCCTGAAACTGACTCAGGCAGAGTGAAAGGTGCATCCCGGGCTCAATGCGTGTTGTCTCGGCCATCATGCTCCATCCAGCAAAGTGTAGCATGCCGGGTAGCCTTGATAAACATCTGCACAATGACACCAGCTTTGGTCTCATGACCAAAAAAAAAAAAAAAAAAAAAAATCAGGAATTGACAGATGGAGGCAAAACTGCTGTGTTTTCTTAAATATACAACCAGTCTTTCCTTGTCTTTTGTGACTTTTGAAAGCTATTATGTATTTTGTAGGATGTCCTTCAATTCGGATTTCTCTGCTATTTTCTCATGATTACACTGGGATTATGGGGTTTGGGGGGACAAATACTATGAAAGTGAAATGTCCTCATTGCATCACATCAGGGGATACATGACAGCAATGTGTCTTATTACTGGCAATGTTAACATTCATCTCTTGGTTACAGTGGTGTCTGCCAGGCTTCTCCACTGCAAAGTTACCATTTTTCACTTTCCATACTCTTATCATTAGAAGCATGTCACTCAGTCCAGCTCATACTCAAGAGGAGAAGGGAAATTAAGCTCCAACTCTTGGAGAGGGGAGAATCAAATATTTAATAAATATTTTAGATGCAATACTTAAAGGCTGTGCAGGGGGCGGGCCCCGTGGCTGAGTGCTTCATTTCGTACGCTTTGCTTCAGTGGCCTGGGGTTCGCTGGTTGGGATCCTGGGTGTGGACCTACGCACTGCTCATTAAGCCATGCTGTGGTGGTGTCCCACATGAAGGAAATAAAATGACCTACAACTAGGATATACAACTATGTACTGGGGCTTTGGGGAGAAAAAAAAACAAGAGGAAGATTGGCAACAGATGTTAGCTCAGGGCCAATCTTCCTCACACACACGCACACAAAAGCACATACCTTTAAAAAGAAAACTGGCTTATTGAAAAAAAAGGCTGCACAACTATTGTGCTCACCTTAAAGCTTTGCCTACTAATTTTAGCATTTAGTGGATCAGGTCTGCAGCAATTATTACTGTGGTATTCTGATGGTAATTTTCTATCTCCCTCATTTCCTCTATATTTATTATCTGGAAGTTCTATGTAACGAAGAGTTGTCTCATCTCCGGCATTTATTTATTTATTCAATCATATCACTTATTTATATAAGTATGGTATCATTGAGATTTGTTGTATTTTTGGACTATAAACCAATACTATTATCTTTTTCTTGCTCAAATTGTTCCAGCTCTGGCCACTGGGACCTCTTTCAGGTTGGCTCCTGCATTCTTATGACACGTTCCCATCTTTTTTCTTTTTTTTAGGTACTTCCTTACTTTCTGGCACAACACAATGCTCCAGGCTCATCTTGTGTTTCCCTACCCCGGCCTTAAAATCAGCCATTTCTCCAAGGAGCCCTGCTTCCTTTCACTGAAGAATGGCATTTAGAAACCAAGATCTGGGAACTAGATGTGGTCATTGCTTCTAGAATAGCACAATGTCTGGGCCTTCTCAGGGGACAGATTGAGAAGACCAAGAAGGTATGACAGCTCAACCCAACAAGCTCTCTGGGGGAGGGAGCTTCTCAGATGGCCTCCCAGCCGTCCTTGTCTACTGATATTCATGGTCTTGTGTAATTCTCTCCCTTGAGTAATGATTCTAACCAACAGAATGCCTCAACATTGAGGGGCTGTAACTTCCGTGATTGGACTACAAGAAATTCTGACTTCTGTTTTGCCAGCAGACTCTCTCTTCTGGCTTTGATGAAGCAAACTACCATGCTGTGAGCTGCCTCATGAAAGGAAAGGGACACATGGCAAGGACTGAGGGCACCTCTGGCTGACAGCCAGCAAGGAACTGAGGCCCTCAGTTCAACAGGCTGCAGAGAACTGTATTTTGCCCAAAACCACTTGAGTGTGGAGCAGATTCTTCCCCAGTCCTGCCTTCAGATGAGTCCTCAATCCCACTTGACACCTTCCCTAATCGCACCCTCAGGAGAGCCACTGGGGCAGAGGACCAGCTAAGCCAGCCTGGATTCCTGACCCACAAAAAGTGGGAGATAATGAAAGCATGTATTTTCACACACTAAGATTGTGGTAATTTGTCACACAGAAAGAGGTAACAAATACAGTACCCTTATTTGAATTCTAGAACAAGAGAAAGGCAGTTGTGGAAAAAGCAGTGAAGTCCAAACTAAGTCCGCAGCTGAGTTCCTAGTACTGTGCCAATGTCATTTTGTTAGTATTGATAAATGTGCCATGGTTATGTAAGATGTTAACCTTAGGGGGAGCTGGGTGATGGGTGTGGGAATTTGCTCAAGTCTTTGTGACTCTTTGGTAAATCTAAAATTCTTTCACACTACAAACTTTAAAAAACAACACTCCTGGGTATTACATGTTATGTTTATAAAATAAAGATGAGAATATAGAAAATTTGAGGAGAAAAAAAATAAAGAAATCAGGGAGCCATCAATTTGGTGGCAGACTCAGCAACCAGGCGTCAGGGGTCACAGTGTGGTAGGCTAGAACAGAGTAGCAAGTGTAGTGGTCACAGTCTGCTGGGGGAAACCCAGGAGCAGGCCTGAAGCCTGGCCTGGCCCAGGAGCCAGTCTGGCTGAGGAATCCCAGGCCTAATATTTTTCCCCAGCCTTCAACAAAGAAGACACTTGTGTCTGTTTCCCTCCTTTTAAACTCTCCCCAACAGTCAACATCTGTTCCAAAATTGAGTTGCCTGCCTGTTCCTCTGCCTTCATGGCGTTTGTCTTTGCGCTTTCCACCGTCTGGAGTACCTCTACTGTCTGCTGGGAGACATCTGCATACACTTCCAGACGCCAACTTGCAAGAAAATCTTCTTTGCCTCCTCTGCCCTCAGTGACATTTTTCAAACCAGAGCCCTCACTCAGCTAACTTTACCGTTCAGCTCTTCATCTTTACTAGCTGCACATCTCAGACAGTTACTTAAATTCTATTCCTCGGCTTCTTCAAAGAGGAAATGGGAATGGGGCCGCATACTTTCTTGATGAACATCCCTCAGCCTCGATGAGGTGGAGCGCTCGCAGCAGTCAGGAGGCACCGGTGGGCAGCTGAGAACGGATGGGTTTCGTGTGCAGGTTGTTTTCCTCCGGCCTCTCTCATTCTTTTATCGATCCCTCTGCAATCTGTTTCTTCCGAGAACCTTTCTTCCTCCCAGCCTGCGTGGAGGTTTGCTGCACAGTCAAAGCAAGGACAGGAGACTCTTTGCCAAAGTTAAAAGCGCATCAAACACGCCTAGCATTTATTATTTTAATCACAAACCTACAGACCTCTCAGTACACCCTCCTTGGGGCTTGACCCCAACAATCCAAAGCTGATGACCTTGAGTCTATGTGGTAGGAGGGGTGGGGATGGGTGGGGAACGCCTCTTGATAACTCTGAAGTGGGGAGGATTCCTCCAAATGGAGAACTGGGTGGAGGCTGGAGGTCGGGGGTGACAGCTTCTGAGTAGGGCGTCAGTAAAAAATCAGATAAACAAAAGAGGGGGTACATATGCTTTTGCAACCCTCCCTCCAAGCCTCTGCCTTGGTGGGACAGGCTTCCACTTTTTCTTGTGCTGAGGAAGTCCCCAGAAAGGCCCTTTCCTTCATCCTGTTCCTCTACACGTTGAAGAAGAGTACTGGGGTGCTGGTTCTGGGAACCCGGACTCAGTACCCCCTAATCCCCATCACCTCCCCAAACTGCCCTTCAGGCAAGGAGGCAAGACTCTGCCCAAGCGCGGGTCTAACTCCTGATCCAGGTCTGGAATGTCAATCCACAAGATTTCAAGATCTGCCCCCAAGATCTGCCCCCTTCTCCAAGGGCAAGGTCGGCTCAGAGTCCTCCTAGGTTAAGTCCCGTTGGTCCCAGGTGAAGGCAGGGGAGCTTAAGTACCACTCTTCCCTGCAGTGTGGAATGCTCAGGTGGGATGGGATGTTGCTAAGGGACAAGGGCTGGTATCTCCACTCGGTGGCCTGATCTTACTGACTCCTCCACACCTAAAACACCTGCGCTGGGCTGTTCCTATAGGGAAGGGGCAGGGCCTGGCTCCTCCACTGCCAGAGGGCCAGGACTAAGTTCCCAGGTGAAGGGGCCGGCTCTCATCCTCACTTCTGTTCCTGCCTGGGCAGGGTAGGGCTCATGGGGAAGAGGCGGGGCTTAAACCTCGAGGGTGGGACCTCCATTATTTTGACTCCTCTTCCTCGCCAGGATGGACTAGACTGGTGGTTTCCAGAGAGGGGCTGGAGCAGTATCCTGACACCTCCTAATCCCAAGAGACCTGGCTAGGACAGTCCCTAGAGGACAGGGGCCGACCTCATCCTGTCTCCTTCCTTCACCTGGGCAAGGGTGGGTCCCACGGGGCAGGGGCGAGGCTGTGATCTCTATGGGACAGGCCCTGATGTCACTGCCTTCTCCATGTCTGAAGTACCTGCGCTGGCAGGTCCTGTGGGAAAGGGGCAGGGCCTCATCTGACTCCTCCTCCTTGCCTGGTTACAGGGGTGGGGCCTTATCACATCTCTTCCCCCAGAACACCTGGGCAGGGCAGTCTCATGGGAGGGTAGGGGAAAAGGCGGGGCCTCATCCTGACTTGTCCTCCTTTCCTGGGTGGGGAAGTCCCAGGGGAGGGGTGAGGCCTGATCAGGACTCCTCCTCCATGCTGAAGCTACTGCGGCGACTGCTGGCCTTGGAGACAGCGGGGGATACCGAAGAGAGCAGGGGATCAGAGGCAGCCCGCAGTGGGGACAGGGCACCCCCCGACAGTCCTCCCACCACCCCTTCCTCCTCCTCCATCAGAATGTCCTCCAGCCCCAGGTGGAAGGGGTCCCCCAGATCCCCCAGGTGGTCGCTGGGAAAGTGCAGGTCCAGAAGGGCATCCGAGGGGGGCGCTGGGGGCTGCTGATGGGGAGCACCCTGGGCAGGTCCCCCCCCTGCATGAAACGTTGCTGTGCCTGGCCTGCCCTCCTCCTCAACGTCCAGCTGCTCTGGCTTGAGGCTGTCAGAGGCTGAAGTTGTGGCCAGGGAGAGCAGCCCTGGGGTGGGAGGTACCGGCAGACCATGGATCTGAGCCTGCAGTTCTAGCTCCTGCAAAACAGTCGGGGGGGGGGGGATAAGATGGGGTTCAGAGTCCCTCAGAGGCAGAGGAGTGTAACAGTTAAAAGGGCAGGCTGCCTGGGTTCGAATTCAGTCTCTGCCACTCACTAGTTTGCAGAACTTTAGGCAAGTTGCTTAACGTCTATGAGCCTCAGAGTCCCAATCTGTAAAATGGGTATACTAATGGTCCCATAGGGTTGTTGTGAGGATTAATTTAGTAAATGGAGATAAGGCTCCTGTCAGTGCATGGCACAAGATCAACGCCATGCACACTAGCTAACGTTATTATTCTTGTTATTGTTATGCTTGCTACTTATCGTCATCATCATGTGAGTCGGGAAGCCTGGCAATCCCCCAAGTATGCCAGGAAGGGAAATCCTGGCCTGTTCTTCCTCTGCCTCTGCCTGCAGGAAGCCCCCCTCACCCCTGCCCCTGCCTCCTCCTTCCAGACCTGAATTCGGAGCTGCAGGCTGCGGTTGGCTTGCTCCAGGGATCGCTGCCGGCTCTCCAGGTCTTTGGAGCGCTGTTGCTCCTTCTGCAACTTGCGGATGTAATCCACAGAGGCTTTGAGGATGGTGCCCTTGTTCCAGCGCATCTCCCTGTGGGGCCCGAGGGGGAGGACAGAAGGGAGCACTGCACATGGAGTCTCAGGAGCTGAGCAGAGGATTGCACCAGGTAGACGGAGCACCCACCCCCTGCCGCAAAGTTGAGGTGGGGGTACATCAGGGGCATGGAATGCTCAGATGAAACCCCCTGCCTGGAACCTTCCAGCGATGCCTCATCACACCCTGAACCCAGGAAGCCCTCTCTGACCCAATCCCTTACTGCTCCTCTCACCCATGTCCCTCTGATTCACCCCACGACAGCCACACTGGCTTCTCCATGCTCCAAGAACATGGAGAACCATTCCCACCTCAAGGCCTCCGGCCCAGCTGTGCTCTCCACCTTGAATACTCTTCCCCCAGACACCCAGATGGCTCCTGCCTCACCTCCTTAGGCTCTTTCTTCAAATGCTTCCTTGTCAGTGGAGCCTGCCCTGTCCCCACCCTCCTCACCCCAAACTGCAACTCTCCTCAGCATTCTGCCATCTTCCTTCCATTCTTTAGTCTTCTCCACAATAGTCATCATAATCGTCTGGATTTTACTTGTTTATCCTGTTTGCTGTCTGTCTGCCTCCACTAGAACATCAGTTCCACGAGCTTGGGGACTTTTGTTTTGTTCCCTCTGGTATCCTCAGGCCTAGCACGGTACCTGGCACAAAGCTGAAGCTCAAGACATTTCTTTTTTTTTTTTTTCCCTGCTTTATCTCTCCAAACCCCCCCGTACACAGTTGTATATCTTAGTTGCAGGTCCTTCTAGTTGTGGGATGTGGGACGCCGCCTCAACGTGGCCTGACAAGTGGTGCCATGTCTGTGCCCAGGATCCGAACCCTGGGCCGCCACAGCGGAGTGCGCGAACTTAACCACTCGGCCACGGAGCCGGCCCTCAAGACATTTCTTGAGTAAATAAAGCAAGTGCTAAACGAACACAGAATGAAGCGCCTGTGTCCTACAGGGACCAGACAAGGCACGGGGACCATAACATCATGCACCTAAAATCTTAGGTGAGGATGTGGTGAGGGGCCACAACCCTGCTCAGGGTGAGGAAAGGTGGGTGGGAAAGGGTCAGAGGAGCAGAACTGCCAGGTGGTTCCCATTCAGGAATGACTTTAGGGGAACAGGACCCCCCCCCACCTTCTGGGCTCCCAGCTCAGACTCACGGGTCACTGGACTTGGGGATGAGGGTGCCCAGCTCCTTGATCCTGTCGTTAATGTTGAATCGCCTGCGACGCTCAACTTTGGAGGTGGAGGAGAGAAAGAAAGAGTGGCAGAGTCATCAATGGGCCGAAGAGGGAAGAGGAGAAACGGGAGTTGGGCGGTTGTTGCAGGGAGAGGCCCCCCCCAAGGAAGGCAGGGGCGCACGACACGTTGGCAAGGGCACGCGCTGCCACTCACTGAGGTTGTGATTGTCTTTCTTCTGTCGCTCCTTCAAAAGGGCCTTGGCCTCTGTCTCTGGAAGAGAGGAGGGGTGCTCAGGGCCTTTGGGCACGGGAAAGACGGAGGGCAGCGTGTGCAGTGGCTGAGGCAGGCTTTGGCGGGTGCAGGCAGAGGAAGTGACTTTTTAAAAATGCGCCACTCTTTACTATTTTTTAGGAAGACATGGTGACAGGCCATTTGTTAAACTCCAGATGAGAGGAAGAGGGGTAGAAGCAGGACCATGGCCATATGGAAAAAAGAGGGCAAATACCCCCCATTTCTGTCTGCTTAAACCCCTTCCCCCAGAATCAGGCCCACCTCCAGACCTGGGAGACGTGGGCTCAGCCTGGGGTACAGGATGGATGCTCGGGGCCACGACCCCGGGCCTTACCAGAGATCTCCCGTTTGATGTTGGGCAGCTCAGCTGGGCAGGAGTTGCTGACGGTGATGGCTGGCGTGGCCACACCCTGACTACTGTACACATCAAGCAGATTCCCTGACACAGGCAGCTGGGGGCAGGGAGGGCAGAGAAACGACGGTTGGAAACAGACCCCACACTTGGCTCCTTCTCAGAACCAGGCTCCCAACCCTCCACACACTCCAAAGATGGACCCCTAATGCAAGGATTGGCTGACACAGCACGGGAACCCTTGCTTCTCCCTCAAGGGAATTCGACATGGCAACTCAACAGGGAGGACAAGGTCGAGTGGACCTAGACTGCTTTGCCAGGGAACTAGAGCCTGCCTGGCCTGTTCATCGCGCCCCTGCAGCTCCTAAATCCCTCAGTGACCTCTGAGGCCCCTCTCCCACACCTGGGGGCTGGCTCTGAAAAGAGATGCTGGCAAGTCACCCTTCTCGGTCTTTGTCCACTCCAATGCAATATTTCAGGCCGTTAGCACCTCCTAGCACAACATTCCAATTTAGCATTCTTAGAATACTCCAACCCAATCTTCTCAGACCTTAGGAAACTGTCATAGCAACATTTCATCCAAAATCTGGCCTTCTGGAGAGTTCCAGCCCAATCTCCAGTCTTTTGCTGTGATCGCGTCGCACCACCTTACATACAAGGTCTCCAGCTGCCATGTACCAAGGCCCTGACTTAAGTATCTTCCCGCACATTCTGATCTCTCAGAATTTCTTGTCCAACTATTCAACTCACACTGCTTTTATGTCAGCCTTGATTTTTTTCTCTCCTTCACACTCTGCTGGATATACTCTAACATATCAACACACTAATCCATAAGGAACCAGTCTCACCTCTTGATGAATTTTCATCTCCTGAAACCCCTGCCAGTCTGCTGGATCCATCTAATATAAGGCCCCAATCTCTAGCTGTGTCCAAATCTACCTGGTACCATTTCTATACATGCTTCTATCCTCTCGATATGTTGGAACGGGGCAAAGCTACAGCCACTTGGTATGTCCCAAAGCAAGTTAGGGGACTCTTGGAAGGTTCCAGAACCAGAATGTTACAATTTACTGGTACATCCTTTGCTCTAGAAAGTTTTATCCACTCTCTACAAGGACCTAGCCTCTTGGCACCGTTTACTGCAGGAGTCTGGTACATTCCATTTGCTTCCAAGTCCAACCACACCACGTTTTGAGACTTTTGGTATGTTCTCATCACTGCATGGTCGGGGTTTGTCCCAATGACCTGAATCTCTCAGTACATTCAAAATGCTGTAAGAGACCTACCTCTTGGCCCCTCCCACAGTGAGGCTCGAACACCTCGGTATGCCCTAATATCTCCACGAAGTCCCCGCCCTATAGATATCAAAAGCTACAAGGTCCACCTCCCCATGCGGTTCAACACCAGCGCTGGTATGCCCCATTCTCATCATACAGCCCCCCTTCCATCTTACTACAATCCGGGGCGAGGGTCTCTTACACACACAGCCAGCATGGCTGTAGTCTCAGTGATAGAGGGAGGCGCTCATTTTCAGCGCCCCCTCCCATCTCAGGGCCTCACCGTGCTGGGGAGCTGCAGCCCAGCGGTGCCTCCGGGCAGATAGCTGAGCATCTCATCGTTGTAACTGGACTCCAGGCTGATGATCTCATCAATGACATCATCAATCTGGAGGAAGAGGTAAATATGGAAGAGGGTCAGAAGAAGTTGGAGGCGGGGAGCAGGGGAGGGTTGTCTGCAGCCACTTACCTCCTTTTCTGAGCTGGACCCGATGGTGAGCAGTGCCATGGGGCTGTTGGGAGCACTGCCTGTGGGGCCAGCAGTGTGGGCAGCCTCGGGGGCAGGGAGCGGCTGGGCACTGGCAGCCCCCGGCGGTGGGGTGAGGGCCTGGGAAGCCAGCTTGGGCCCAAGGGTGGTGGACAGGTACTGCTTCACTTGCTGCCGGCGCGCCTGCTGCAGGTGGTAGCGCGTTGGGTTCTCCAGATGGGTTTGCACCTGTGGGATAAGGGGGAGGAGGGCGGGTGGGGACAAGGTAGAACAGGGCTCAGAGGAGTGACTGAGCCTCAGGCTGACCCTCAGAAGTCATCTGTTCCTAGGCTTAGGCCGGCAAACTGGGCCCAGAATCTGAGAACCCCTCCCAAATTACTGGTAAGTCTCCCCCAGGACCCAAACTCCCTTTCTCGGAAATCCCTCACAGCCCCCAAGATCCACCTAGGGCTGGCAGAACCCCTTACAGTTTCTGGAGCACCCTGTTACAGTCCCCCAGACTCTCCTCTAGTCTCTGTGGCCACCTAACAGACCTGGGAACTACACACGGCTTCCCAAGACACCCCAATGGCCAGAAGACTCCTGCTGCACCACACATACCTGAAGCTCGGCCTACGAAGCCGCTTCCCAGACCCCAGGGCCCGCTCGGGGCCCTCACGACCCTCCATGGTCCGCAGACAACCTATAGCCCCCGAGAACCCCTCACAACTCCACAAGAACCCCTTGGAAACCCTCAACACAACGGGACACTAGCACAGTCTATTTGAACAGCACTGAGGACTTTCCTTACAGCCCCTAGCACCTCACCCAAAAGCCACCAGGACCACTCCTCAGTCACCAGGAGGCCCCTCCCAGGGCCTCTGGCTGTGACCTTACCTTGAGCACCTCCCTGGGCACCTGAGCAGGGGGAGGGCGGCCCAATGCGTGGCCCCCAGCAGAGACGCCGACCACAGAGATGGCAGGAGAGGCAGGTGCAGGACTGGGGAAGGAAGAGGCTGCAGCCTGTTCCCGGCGCTCACGCCTCTCCTGCTCCTGGGCCTGGGCCCGCATTAGCTGCTGCCGCAGCAAGACCCGCGAGGAGGAAGAGGACGACATGGCAGGGGTCCTGGAGCCCCCTGCAGAAGATGATGCAGAGAGTGTAGCTGGGGTGGCTGGTGTGGCCTGCAGTGATATTGGGAGGCTGTGGAATGGGAAATATGGGGCCACAGGTAAGCTAAAAGTCTCATGCCGAGCCTAAGGAGTCAGAGCGTGATGGAGTCATCACAGGAGCCAGGCCTGTTCTCTGCCTTCAGAGGCCAGTGTGGAGGGGCAGACACAGGCACCAGGCCTGGTCAGTCTGATAGGGGAGACACTGGAACTAGAATGAGTCCCAGCTCTCAGGGGTCACGGTCTGGCAGGGAAGACACTGGAACCAGACCAAGCCCCAGCTCTCAGGGGTCACGGTCTGGGGGGGGGGGCGGAATTTTAGCCCTGAGTCCTGATGAAGAAGCCTGGATTTGGGCCTGTTCATATTTGAGTGGAGATGCCATTGCTTGGCTCTGGGAGAGGGGGTTTATCCTATTTAAAGGACAGTGAAAGGCAGCAGAAGATGCAGATACAGAGGGCTCTTAAGCTCAATTTGGGGCTGGAGATGCTCTCTGAGCTCCCGGGGTTAAACATCAAGTTATAAGGGCAACTGCACGCCCTTCTTCCTCCCTTGCCTGGGCCTCCAGTTCCAGGAGCTAGTCAGTCTTGAAAATCTCAGAGATTTCACAATCCTCTCTTCCTGCCCCTCTTCCAGGTCCCCTCCCCTCTCTTAGAGCCCAGGCCGATGACTCAGCACATTTAGACTTCCAAGCTTGGGGAAAGGAGACCAGCAGGGGTTCCTCAAAAGCTGGGGGTGGGTGAGTTTGTTGAGTGGGGGAGGGTTTGAGCAGGGGTTGTGGGTTGGCTCCGCCCACCTGGAGGCGGAGCTTGAGCAGATCACGCCCTATCGCTGGGCACTCAGGGCAACTTGCAATATCTGTGTATTAATAGGCATGCAGGTAGTGTTGGGGAGGTCACGTCCAAGGTACTGGAATCGTAGCCTGGCCACCTGCTTTCCTGTGTGACACGCTCTTTCTGGCCCCTAATTTTACTGTCTGGAAAATGCATGGTGGCGAGAGAATGGGTTGGGCTGGCACTGCAGGCCTCTGTCCATCCAGAGGGGACGGAGGGGCCTGAGGAATTGGGAGCGGAATCAGACAGAGGAGACATACCTTGAGCGAAGTGATAGGGGTTGGCTTTTGAGCTCGTAGAAGCTGTCAGGATCAAGGATGTTTTCTAATTCAATGTCAGCAACAATCCCGGACTCCGGAAGCAAAGAGTTCAGGCTGAGAGTGGGGGGAGGTAGGGGTAGTAGTCAGTGAGTGGAGACCTCACGCCCCTCTGAGAGAGAGAGAGAGAGACAGAGAGACAGAGAGAGAGAGAGAGAGACAGAGAGAGAGAGAGGGACAGAGAGAGAGAGAGAGACAGAGAGAGAGAGAGAGACAGAGAGAGAGAGAGCGCGAGAGCGCGAGCGAGGGAGAGGGAGAGAAAAAGGCACTAGGAGGGAGGGGAACAGAGTGTATCCCTCACATTCAGCCACTGGGTACCCTCACCATGAATTCCCACATCTTCTCCCCCCTCCCCACTCTCTTTCGCTTTGTTATCCATAGTCCCTTAAGATTCAAGATAATGAGTGCCTGGATCCCAACTCCCCGCTCTAACAATCACGTGTAACAACCACCTGGGTTTGAGGAAAACAGAAACGAATTTAGGAATGACAATTCACTTTGCAGGGTTCCTGACTTTGCATTCAAGAGTTGTCCCAGCCCCCACACCCCCTACTGTCTTCCCGGCAGCTGAATGTGAGCCCACGTTTGTCCACACACAGAGCACAGTAGGGGCATCCCTCAGCTTAACAGTCCATTGTAACCCAAAGTGAACGCATCACAAAGAGAACTGGGGTCGATGATTCACCTTACAGAAGGATCCACCACTTTGCAAATGAGCCCCTCCTCCACTCCCCACCTAGAGTTCATGGGATGCCAACACACATTCAAATACAAAATGGAAATATCAAAGGCGCCCCTCATTCCACCAATCTGGATTTACAAGGAGAATTTGGGTGGATGATCCGCTTTATACAGCATTCTTTTCTTGGCTGGAGGAGCCTGCCCAGCGTTCTCCTGTTTTTTTGGATAGATCAAAACACACACACGCCTCCAGTACCAACACCCACGGACACACAAAATACGAAGCCATGTACACCCCTCCCTTTCAACTATTCCCACTACCGTGATGATCTAGGTTGTCATAAAGTCACTGGGAGATGGTGAATGGATATATGGAAAGGCTTAGCCCTTTATGCGGGGTGCGAGACCCCGGTGTGTAGGGGACATTAACATGCACGCGGATGGATATGCATCCTGGAATTTACTCAAAGATTTAGAATCCTGAGAGACTGTGGGTGACTTCACTTGACAAGAATTCTCTCCCCTCCCCAAGGATCTGGCTTCCTTCCTTTCCTCACCCTCCGATGGAGCCCTAAAACCACCCAGGAAGTCGGGAAGAGGAAGCTTGGGGAGCCGCTGAGCTCAGCACAATCCCAGGCAGAAAGTAGGCAAAGCCCCCTCCCATGCTCACACCCCCATGGCACAGAAGTTGGCAGAGATGGACACTGGGGTGGGCAGGGTGTGGACAGAGAGGGCTAGGGCTTCCAAGCCCGCTGATGGGAGTGAGGTTAAGAGGCCAGACAGGACCCACCCAGGCAGGGATGGTGCAATTGGTGCTCATTCCAGCTCTAGGGGCAGATTCGAGATTCTCTCCAGGCCTGAGAAACAGACTGGAGGGGGGAGATAGAAAGAACGTGTGTGTGTGTGGAAGGGGCGAGCAGGGTGGGCTGAGAGGCTAGGTAGGACAAGTGGCAGCAGAAACAAGACCCTCCTCTGGGTCCCCAAATAAGGTCCGAGGCCTTTTTCTCTGAGCTAAGAGGGAGCATCACGTCCATGGCCTCTGTCTGCCTGTCTCCCATTCAAGCCCCTGTGGGGGTGTGGGAAGAGGGCTTTTCCACTCTCCCTGGGATCTGACCCAGCCGGGTGGGTGGGCAGGGGTGGAGGGATTATTCTGGTCAAGTCTTGATGAATGTTGCTTCTCTTGCTCACTCACACACACTCACAGGGCTGCTCCCACGCAGCATATCTGAGAAACCCCCAAATCCCTCCAGATCCGTGTTATCCCGAAACACAGCCTCCAGCAACCAGCCACTGCGAGTCACCAAGCTCCCAAGACAGCACCTCTGTCTCTCAAGACTCTGACACTAAGGGAAAAAGTCCCTTAAAATCAGTGCCTCACCTACAGAGTGCTCCCTCAAATTCATCCCCCTCACGCCTGACTCAAGGGCCCCAAATTCAGCCTCTAATCAGAGTCTCAGTCTCCCAAGTTCAGCTACCCTAGACCAGTTTCCGGACACAACAGAATCTGCCCCTCTAGATCCAGTCAAGGGCCCCCCAAATCTGAACCAGGCCTCCCTTAATGCACTTCCACGACTCCTTTAAGCCCCAGTCCAAGCAGGCCACCGCCAGATTCCTTAGATGCCCCCCCAAGACGGGCGCCCCGACGTCCTCCAAGCTAGGCCGAGGGCCTCCAATCCCAGTCCGGGGCCCCCGCTGCCCGGCGATCGGACCCCCAGGAATCCCAGTCAGCACTACCGGCCCCAGGCCGCTCCGCACCTGAGCAGCTGGGCCGAGTCGGCCGGCCTGCGCTCCTCCAACAGCACGAACACGGCTCGAGGGCCCTCTGCGCTGGCCTCTACGCCGTCCCGAGCTGGCTCGGCCGCATGAGACATGACGCCCGGCCCCGGGCGAGCCCTGCCAGGCCGGCCAGTCGGGCCTCGGCCCGGTCCCCCTAACAAAATAAGAGTCCCCCTCCCCCCGCTCGCCACCGCCTCCTCCGCTAAGCCATGGAGTGAGCTCTGCGCGGGCGGGCGGCGTCGGGGAGATGGGATGGGCCGTGAGTCATCCCCCGCCCTGAACGGACCAACACCCCCCCCCCACCCCTAACCTAACCCCGGACGACCGCCCTCCTCCCCCTCGTCCTCTTCCCCCTCCTCCCTGGGCTGGGGAAACTCCACAGGAAGTGACCGCATGGAGGATGGACGGCTCGCCGGGCCACGCCCCCTGAGTGAGGCGACCAATCGTTCAGGGGCGCGATTGAAGGACCCGCCCTAAGCCACGCCTCCGACGCGGAGGGAAAACTAGATTCGGCCAACCTTCGTTCCGAGAAGGGGGCGCCTAGGCCACGCCCTCAGGGACAGAGGCAAATCAGCAAAAGGTAATTTGATTGAGCCCCGCCTCCTCTTCGCAAATTATCCCTCCTCAGGCTATTAAGCCGCTCCTGGGGTCCTCTGCGCCTGCGCACCGATGGCCAGTCGGCGCGCCGACGATCTCCAGGCCAGGCTTCTAGCTGCGCAACCGCGCCCCCTCCCGGCCAATATTCGTACTATCTGCTCCCTAGGCCGCGCTCCAACCTGGATCTAGCCGTGCCTCCTTCTCAGCCAAAGCCATAACTCTGAGGCCCTGGCGGCTCCATTCCCTGGAGGCGCGCCCCAGAAACCCCGCCCTTTCGGTACCCACAGTCCAGCTGCCCAGCTGGTCTTCCCGGGAGCGCTCCAGCTCCTCTATGTCATCTAGAGCAGTTGTTGCGCTAGGTCGTTGTGCTGCTTAATAAATACTTTACAGATAGATGAATGAGTGGAAGGATGGAAATTAGATCTGGTCCCTTCAGTGAATGGCCTCTGGAATCGTAAAGACCCGGGTTTGGATATGGGCAAAGCACTTCCCTTCTCTGAGCCTCAGCTTTCTTGGCCTGTCAAATGGGGGTCATAATACCTGTCTAACAGGGTTGTTACGAGAATTAGAGATAGTTTATGAAAAGTGATAGCAGGTCACTTGGCATAGCATAAGCTCTCCAAAAACTAATTGATTCACTCATTTGTGCACTGGTCCAACAAACATTTATTGAGCTCCTTTGTGTGCCAGATACATGCAAGCCAGCTTGCACACAGCAGAGGGTCCCACCCATACTTTCAGGTGCATGGTCAGCTCACAAAACACTGGACCTGCAGCCTTCCCTTCCTCCTTCCCAACATCCCGAGACCCTGCCCAGCATTTGGGCCTCCAGGAACTTCACTGTGCTCCCGTTTGCCCTGCACCTTCCTGTATTGGCACCCTTGTTTCCCAAGTTGGCTTCGGAAACACGCAAAGCCCCACAGGCTCACATACAGCCATTATCCACATAATAAAGATGACAATTCTTCCTCAAATCAATCTTTAAAAAATCAGTACATTACCAGTAAAAGTTCTGAAAAGGAACTTGTAGACCTGATGTTAAAATTCCTCTGGTGCCTTAAATATGTAAGGATATCTAATTTTATAAAAGAAGGAGAAAGAGGAGGGCATCGTCTTACCAGATTCAAAATATATTACAAAGCTCTAGTAATTAAAACATTGTGATCTGGGAGTAGGAATAGAAAACTAGATCAATGGTAAAGAGAAAAAGAATTTAAAAATTGACCTCGGGGGCCAGCCCCATGGCCACTGGTTAAGTTCGTGCGCTCCGCTTCGGCGGCCCAGGGTTTCACCAGTTCGGATCCTGGGCACGGACATGGCACCACTCATCAGGCCATGCTGGGGCAGCATCCCACATGCCACAACTAGAAGGACCCACAACTAAAAATACACGACTATGTACCAGGAGGCTTTGGGGAGAAAAAGGAAAAATAAAAATCTTTAAAAAATTGACCTAGGTATTTGCGGGAATTAGTAAATGACAAAAATGATATTTCAAGTCACTGGAGGAGAGATGGACTGTTTACTACAATGGTTTGGGGAGAAATAACTATCTTTTGGGGGGAGGGATTAGATTCCTAATTTACACAATTCAGAAAAATTAATTCCAGATTGGTTAAAGACCCAAACATAAAAAAAAAATCTATAAAACATATCAGAACAAAATATTTTTGGAGAATATGTTTAAGACTTTGGCAAAAAAAGGCCTTCTTAAACAAGATACAAAGAGCAAAAGATACAAACAAAAGCAACACCATGCAACATTTCCTGGTCCTTCTTGGCACTTTATCTGCATTAGCTCATTTGGATCCTCACAACAGACTTCTGAGGCAGGTTCCATTTATTAGCCCAACCTATAGACCAGGAGGTACAGCAAGGCTAGGTCACTTGCCCTAGGTTGCCCCCGTTTGTAAAGTCTGGGATTGGAACCCAGGCACTCTTACCACCATGCTCCAGCATCTCTCGGGTTTGACCACATCAAAATATAAAACTATAATCTGATGAGAGATGTTACAAACAAAGTTAAAGACTTGCGGAAGCCTGGGGAAACAAATTTACAGCATTGCACCCATTAATTAATTATCCTGTCACACACTCCATTCCTACAAACACCAGTTTCATACGCGCATCCCGAATATCTCCATGCCAATGCTTCCCCATCACATACCCTGCACAATATCCTCCATCCCTCTCAGTCTCTCTCTCTTAATCTGTTGCTCACAACTTCACAACTTTTTCAACAGTGCTCTCTCTCTCACACAGCTGGGGTTTTATTACGAGGCAACCGCAGGGTGGGGTGAATGGGAGATATGGAGGGAGGAAGAGACAGGGCAGTTGGATGGTGAAGTTGGGGATGCTTTGGGGTAGATTGAGTAGTGATTGAGAGTGGCTGAGGTTGAGGTCTTTTACAGGACAGTGTGCATGCAACTAAAGGCTCACACGCAGGTCTTCAGGAGGGATGGGGCTTCTAGAGGACAGATTAAAAGTGCAGGTGGGAGCAATTGGAGGGTAAAGTGGGAGTACAGGTGGGGGGTTGGAAGATGGTTTGGGGTGCAGTTGGAGTGACTATGGGAAGATAGTGAGTGTTTAGAGACAGAGTTTGGTCTTCTGTAAGATAATTTAAGGAGTAGAGCTATTAACCGTCACAAGATGGTGTGGTAGGTTAACTAATGGGTCCCCAAAAGATGTTTGTATCCTAATCCCTGGGACCTGTGGGTGTTACCTTATATGGCAAAAATAAAAGAAGATCGAAGATGTAATTCAATTAAGGATTTTGAGCTGAGGAGATTAGCCTGGATTATCTGAATGGAACTTAATTGTAATCACAAGTGTCCTTACAAGAGGAAGACAGAGGCAGATTTGACAGACAGAAAAGGAGAAGGCAATGTGACCACGGAGGCAGAGATTGTAGTGATGTGGCTACAAGCCAAGGAAAGCTGGCAGCCACCAGAAGCTGGAAGAGGCAACAAGCAGATTCTCCTCTAGAGCCTCCAGGGAGAGTACCGCCCTGCTGGCACCTTGATTTTGGCTCAACGGAGCTGATTTTGGACTTCTGGCCCCCGGAACTGTGAAAGAATAGATTTCTTATATCTTAAGCCACCAAATTTGTGGTAATTAGTTACAGCAGCCACAGAAAACCAATACAGATTTTGGTACCTAGATGTGAGATGCTGCTGCGTCTTAGATGCTGCTTGGGCTGCCATAACAGAGTACCACAGACTGGATACATTAAAAGAGAGACATTTATTTCTCACAGTTCTGTAGGCTAGAAGTCCAAGATCAAGGTGCCGTCTGGGTTGGTTTCTGATGGGAGCTGTCTTCCTGACTTGCGGATGGCTGCTTCTTGCTGTGTCCTCACCTGGCCTTTCCTTTGTGCACATGTACTCCTGGTATCTCTTCCTCTTATAAGGACCCCAGTTCTATTGGATCAGGGCCCCATCCTTATGACCCCATTTAACCTTAGTTACCTCCTTAAAGACCCTATTTCCAAATACAGTCATATTGAGGGTAAGGGCTTCAACATACGGATTTGGAGGGGGAGATACAATTCAGTTCATAACATATGGTAACAATACCTAAAAATGTTGAAGTGGCTTTGGAATTGGCTAGTGGGTAGAGGCTGGAAGAATTTTGAGGCACATGATAGAAAAAGCCTAGACTGCTTTGAACAGACTGTTGGTAGAAATATGAATGTTAAAAGCACTGCTGGTGAAGGCTCAGAAGGAAATGAGGAGCACAGTAGAGAAAACCTACATTGTCTTAGAGAATACATATGTCATCATAAACAGAATGTTTGTAGAAATATGAATATTAAAGATGCTGCTGGTGAGGGCTCAGAAGGAAATGAGGAACACGTCATTGGAAACCGGACAACAAGAGCCTTGTTATATAGAGGCAGAAAACTTAGCTGAATTGTGTCCTACAGTTGTGTGGAAAGCAGAGCTTCTAAGTGATGGATCTGGGTATTTAACTGAGGAGATGTCCAAGGAAAGTGTTGCCTGGCTTCTTCTTGTTGCTTATAGTAAAATGTGAAAGGAAAGAAATAAATTGAGGAAAGAACTGTTAAGGAAAATGGATCCAGGATTTGATGATTTTGGAAATTCTCAGGCTGTCTAGATTGCAAAAGATACAAGATTTAAGAGATTCAATGTCAGGAAAGTATGCTCTGGAGAGAAAGCCAAGGGTGTGGCTGTTACTCATGGATCCTATCAACCATCTCAGCAGAAGTCAGGACTAGAGATAGGATTATCCAGAGAAGATTTGTGGATGATCCTCTTGTCTAATGGTATGAGTCCCTGTGAATTCCATGGGAGACCCACAAGGTTTTTGAGAATGTTATACTGCCACAAATACTGCCCATTTGGCTTGAAAGAAACAGAGACAGGATGAAATGAAGGATATTGGACTCCCAAAATTCTGCTGGAAGGATATAGGCTAAAACTACTCAGCTGCAAATATGTGCTACCCTTCAAGAGGAAGGAAGAATAACTCTGAGGGCAGAGCTGTGGAGCCAGAGGTGGAGCCTCAAGTGATAGTGGATTCTTCCCAGACCTTGAAACCTAATGGAAACTGCCCTGCTGGATTTCAAAATTACTTGGAACCAGTGACACCTTTTTCCCTTCCTTTTGGAATAGGAATGTCTATAACTCTTATCCTATGCCTGTCCCACCACTGC